AACTAACACAGATTGATGTGGAAAAGTTGAACAGGCCCATCACAAAAGAAGAAATTGAACAGGTCATCAAAAAATTACCAACTAAAAAAAGTCTTGGCCCAGACGGTTTTACCAGAGAATTCTACAGAACACTCCTTAGAAGTGAGAATGGCCAGACTTCATCTCACCTACTTTGAGCATATAACCGGAAGGGACCAATACCTGGAGAAGGATATCGTGTTTGGTAAAGCAGAGGATCAGTGAGAATGGGGAAGACCCTCTACAAGACAGACTGCAACCACTCTTAACAGTAGCTACAAATATGGACTCAAACATAGCAAGCATTGTGAGGATGGTGCAGGGCTGGGTAGTATTTCACTCTGTGGTCCATAAGGTTGCTATTAGTCGGAGCCAACTTAATGGCACCTAACAACAACAACAAAGACCAGCCTTGGTGGTGCAGTGGTTAAGCAATTGGCTGATAAGCAGAAGGCGGTTCGAAACCACCAGCCACACCACGAGAAAGATGTGGCAGTCTGCTTTCCTAAAGATTTATAGCCTTGGAAACGCTATGGGGCAGTTCTACTCTGTCCTACAGGGTCGCTATGAGTCGGAACTGACTCGATAGCAGTGCGTTTGGTTTTTGCTTTAAAGAAAATGGTATAAAGATATTGTGGTAGTTACGTTTGTATGTCAACCTGACTGAGCCTAGGTGAGTGGGTGGGCAGCTGGTAGTAGTTATTCCCCATGATGAGACTGGCAATCAACTCCATGGTGCAATCTACCATAATCAGCTGAGTAGCTGCTTTAGGGATGTGGTCTGCTTCCCATATATAAGCAGCAGCTTTCGGAATGGTCTCTAGCTTATGGCATGCTTGAACCATGCATTTGTTGTTGTTGTTGTTTGCTGTTGAGTCAGACCCGACTCATAGCAACCCCTCCTTGGGTTTCTGAGGCAGTATCACTACGGAAGTAGATTGCACCATCTTCCTTCCAGGGAGTGGCTGGTGGGTTTGCACCGCCAGCCTTCTGGTTAGCAGTCAAGTGCCTTAGGCACTATGCTACCAGAGCTCCCATGCATTTAGCCAAGTCTTTATTCAGCAGCATGCCATGCTCTGCTGATCGTTGGACTTTCAACGGACTTGAAGCAATGGCCTGCTGTGTTGCTTGGTAACAATTGAGACTGTCCCTTTTTACTTGCCAACCTTGTCACCCTCAAGCATCTAGCAGCTGTATGAGAGAAGAGAAGCCTCTAGCTTCAGTGGCCAGGAGCAAGAGGCAGAGCTGAATCCCAAGGTCAAGGGGCTTTCACCCAGCCCCTAGAGCCTGGCACTTTGAATTTGGATTTCTAGCCTCCCTAACTATAAGAGAATAAACTCCTATTTGTTCAAGGCCACCGATTTGTGGTATATTCCTGTCAGAGTGGTACTAGGTAACCAAAACAGATATTCAGCCTCCATGACTAACTAAATATCTATAAAAGAAAGAAAGCTTACTACTTTTAGTATTAGACCAGAAGGAGAAAGGAGATAAGTATTCTAAAGTTGTAACTCAAAAAACAACACAACAGACAAAAGGAGATAACTCATTATGTTTCAGAAAGAAATGAAATAAAAGATATACTCTATTAATTCTTTAAAAATACATTATTTCTACAATGCTGTGAAGGTATTGTTTATTATATCTGACAACAGTATACGTATTTCTAGAAAAATTCATCTCTCTAGAGTTAAGAGAGAAATCATTACCTGATTTGTAGGCATTTTGGGCACATTTACTTTCCACATCTGAGCTTCCCTGGAGATTGCCTTTTCCAACAGGAAAGACAACCTCTGGTTTTCCAAAGATCCTGGAAACTTCATGATATCCTTTGGATCTGCCTGGCACCCAATTTGATGTAGCTACCTATAAAATCAAATATAAAAAATGCTTTTTATTTAATTATAGAATAAGCATAGCATTATATACATATATAAATGTTGTTACTTATTAAACAATTCATAAAAGAATGACTCAGCATAGACTTTCATAGCTCTTTAAATTAAAAAATGTTACAGTAATGTTAATTAAAACATTTTTCACTTTAAATTTGAAACTCAGTTATCCTGAAGGTAAAAAAAGGCATAAATAAATGGAAAAACAGGAAAGGACACCTGGACTAATGTGAATTCCAAAAAGGAAGGACAGAAAATTTACAGAAGGGAAATCATCTAGGAAATAATTTACCACCCTCTCACCCTCCAAATCTAGAATGGAAGGATGAGATGAAAGTATCTTAACATAATGAATGACAAAAGATTCATATTAAGACACATCATTGTGATCTGTGATCATAATAGATCACAGATAAAGATCTTTAAAAGCTCTGAGAGAGAGAGATTAAAAAAAAAAAAAATCTTCAAACAAAAATGCTGGTCACACAAACATGATGGGACATCACAATGACATGAGATTTCTCAACAATACTGAAAGCCAAGTGTCAAATGGACGTCTTCAAAATTCTGAAAATGTCTTAGAATTTCCTACATAAATTTTATACCCAGGCAAACCCTCAAATAAAAGGGTGAAAAAGAAATTTTATGATATGTAAGGTCTCAATTTTTATTTTCTGTGCACCCTACCCTTCCTCAAGAAGAGACTGAAGACTGTGTACCTTCAAAATAAGGGTGCAAATCCAGAAAAATCTAATTAGACCTAAAAAAATCTAATCTCCTTTTCACAGGCTAATCCTTCAAATATTCCAAGGCTGATGTTATCCTCACTTTTTTTTTTCCCTCAGTTTGCTCAATGGTTCCTCACATGACATGATTTCTGCTCTTGTGTATCAGTACCTGTTTAACTACTGTTGTTGTTAGGTGCTGTAGAGTAGGTTCTGACTCATAGTGACACTATGTACAACAAAGGAAAACACTGCCCAGTCCTCAGCCATCCTCACAATCATTGCAGTGTCTGAGCCCACTGGTGTGTCAATCTATCTTGTTAAGGGTCTTCTTTTTTGCTGTCCATCTAGTTTACCAACCACAATGTCCTTCTCTAAGGACTGCTCCCTCCTGATATGTTCAAAGTACATGAGACAAAGTCTTGCCATCCTCACCTCTAAGGTAGATTCTGGCTATACTTTTTCCAAGACAGATTTGCTTTTTCTGGCATCCACAGTACATTCAATATTCTTCACCGACACTGTAATTCAAAGGCATCAATTCTTATTTGGCCTCCCTTAGTCACTGCCCAGCTTTTGCATGAATGTGAGGCAAATGAAAAAATACCATGGCTTGGGTCAAGTGCACCTTAATCTGAGCACAATTAAGTGTTCCAGAATTTCCATTCTTCACAATGTTATCCATCATTTGTCATGATTCATACAGTAAAATGGCTTTGCATAATCAATAAAAAAGAGGTAAGTATCTTTCTGGTATTCTTTGCTTTCAGCCAAGATCCATCTGACATCAGCAATCATATCCCTTACTCCATGTCCTCTTCTGAATCCAGCTTGAATTTCATGCAGCTCCCTGTTGCTGTACTGTTGGAATCTTTTCTGCAGTATCTTCAGCAAAATTTAATTTACTTGTAGGAGCTCTGGTAGCATAGTGCCTAAGGCACTTGACTGCTAACCAGAAGGCTGGCGGTTCAAACCCACCAGCCACTCCTCGGAAGGAAGGCTGGGCAATCCTACTTCCGTAGTGACACTGCTTCGGAAACCCAAGGAGGGGTCGCTGTGAGTCGGGGCCGACTCAATGGCAAATAACAACAACAACAACATTAATGATACTAAGTGATAATTTCTGCATTTTGTTTGATCACCTTTCTTTGAAATGGACACTAGTATGGATATCTTTCAGTGAGCAGCTCAAGTAGCTATCTCCCAAATTTCTTAGCATACACTGTTGCATCTGTTTGGTGAAACATCTCAACTGGTATTCCTTCCATTCCCAGAGTCTTGCTTTTCATCAATGCCTTCAGTGCCGCTTAGATGTCTTCCTTCAATACCATCAATTCTTGACCATGTGTTACCTCCTGAAATGGCTTTATACTGACCAATTCTTTTTGGTACACTACAGACCAATAAAGACTCTGTATTCCTTCCATCTTGTTTTGATATTCCATGTATTATTCCATATTTTGCCCAATTCAAGGCTTGAATTTTTTCAATTCAGTTTGAGAAATGCCACATGTATTCTTCTTCTGTTTTTCTGACTCCAAGTCTTTGCACATTTCATTATAATATTCTTATTTTTTCTTCTCAAGCCACCTTTTGAAATCTTTAGCTCTGTCGTCATTTCTTTCATTTGCTTTAGCTACTCTACATTCAAAAGTAAGTTTTAGTTTCTTCTTTTTTTTTAAAATTTGGATTTGGGTGAAGATTTACAGAGCAAATTCACTTTCCATACAGCAGTTCACATATACTTTGTTTCACGTCATTGACCACAGTTTAACACAATGCAACAGCACCCCTCACACTTCCTCCCCATAGTTACCTCTTCCCAGTGTCCATCCCTCCATATTCTCCTGCCCCCTGAGCTGTCTCCCTGTGCATAAGTAGCCCTTCCTTCTCCCATGATTTTTCTCTCCAGGGCATGTGTCTACTTGAGGTAAATGTTTAACTCACATGCCTGCACTTTGTTTGGCTGGAAACGACAGGTGTGGGTTCAATTCCAGACCTGGAGGGCAGCTAGGGGCCATAGTCTCAGTGGTTCCACCAGGCTCTATTGGACCAGCAATCCTGGTCCCCACTTTTTTTTTTTTTTGCCTCCAAATGATTTTG